AGAATATATTTACAAAATAACTTCTTTCATTTAAAGACAAGTAAACATGGCTTGTCATTTTTGAAAATAATAAAATAGAAACTGTTGTTAACTTTATTTATTTATTATGCCTACTTTGTGCCGATATTGCAATGCAAAACTGATTGTGCTATTTCCAATTCTTTTCATTTTGGCGGTGTATTCGATCAATAAAACTGCAATTTTTGTTGCATCGAATAGATGCAACTGACCTTAAATTTAGAAAATGTACTGGAGTAATTACAGAATCCAAATTGCCGCGAATCGAGTGAAAACAATCAAATTAATTTGTTTGCTTTATTACTTTGACCCAGTGGCTCAAACGGTATGAATAGGGGGGGAAGGGGGAAATCGTGTTGGGACTGACACCAAATGCCTGGCAATTTGCATACGAAATGGGCAAATTGGCAAAACAGAAATTGCAGGAGGTAAAACAAGAAACAAACTGACATAGGTGAAATTACATAAAAAGGCAAGTGTACAAATAACGAACCCAAGCCAAACAAAATGATTGAGAGGCATAAAGACACGCCATCGAGTCATCAATAGGACAGGCCCCGACATCCATCCCTAGCCCCTCCATCCACTGGCTCATCCCGTCACTCCCCCATCAACTAAATCCCAATCAGTCAGCGAAAATCAAAGCTCAAATCAGCACCCAACAAAAGTCAAATTAGAAAACAGGAAGAACAAAAGAACAGGAAAAAAACGAGGCGTAAATGAGACTTTTTAGAACCAAACATAAATCACCCTATCAAACTTAATGGTGATTTGTTAACTATTTTTTATTAAGTTTAATATAATGACAATAATGGAAGCACATATCTAAAAACAAATTAATAGATAAATAAAAAAAACAGCAAACATAAAAAATTGTAATATTTAAATTATTTAAATATAAATCTGTTGAATTATGTGAATTAAAATACAAAATTAGGTTATCTTTAACCTAATATTCATTTATTTGTCAAGTAAAATTTAAATTACCAAAACGGGAAAGAAAGCAGGATTTCGACTCCTAGAAAAAAACAAAATACCCTTCTGTTAGAGAACAAAATAAATCGAAATCGTCCGTCGACAAATGAAGCGTCAAATTAGAAAATAATAAAAACAGAAATATACAGCAAATCTATAGAAAATAAGTATATGAAAATATATACACTGCGGGGGAGTCATAACAAAAACAGAGATACTTGAGCCGGAAGCGTGCTCGGCGGCGGCAACAACAATGAATCAAGGATCCAAGGATTCAAGGATGCAGCCCGTGAAGACAGCCAAGCGGCAAAGATAAACCCGCATTGAAATCGCCAAATGAATGAGAATGTCGGCGGGGGTGGGGTGCTGGTCGGGTGGGTTGCGATTGAAATGGGTGGAGGGGTTATGGCGGGCTGGCGGTTCAATGTTGCCATTGTTATTACTGCTGTAATACGCTTTGCGAGAAGATTACAATTTCTGATTACTTTGTTATTAATAAACACAAAAAGCGTGCCAAACACACGGAAACAGGCACAAAGATGCACGCTGACACATGGCAAGAGTCTGATCGACATGGCATGTACTCAGCGGAAGAGGGTTGGAAGTTTATAACACAAAAGAATTTAATTAAAATTGTTTAAGTACTTCAAATCAAACACAAATTTGTGTGCAATTCTTTTTTAATGGGAAAACGATACTTCTAAAGAAATTATAATAGGAATAGATAGAAGAACATTAAAAAAATGTGTTTTAACATTTAATATTTATTATATATTCGTTCATTCTTCGTTTTATTTCTGCTGTGTGTTTAGATTTCACGATTTTAGTAAAATTAAGATCTGCAATAACTTTAAAAACCAAACAATTTTTTAATTTCTCTAATAAGGATAATTTTTCAAAGCCAAGCTTTATTATTTTTTATTTCTTAGAAATTCAGTTATTTGTTTGTTTCAGAATCCCATGACAATTAATTAAGACGTAAATAATTTTGTAATATTATAGCACTTAATTTAAAAACATATACTAGGGTACGATTTTATATTCTTTATTATTCCCAAAAAGTTTATTGAAATTTAAAAGGTATTTAAAATTCCATTTTTAGCTGTATAGAATTAAAAAGAAATCCCTGATCCAGAACAGCGCGTAGTCCTTAAACTACTATACCAATCTATGAAAAACCGTTGACAATGACATTTAACACCCAACCACCCACAAGCTCCCCCCTAAACCCCCTAAGCTGCCTGTCCGCGTCGCATTTATTTTATCATTTTTGTGCTTTGTTAGGCAAAACGTTTTATTAATAAACTTTTCTGTGCTGAGACCCACAAAGCCGAACAACAAATACCAAACAACATCAGAGGCCCTTTGGCAGGAAAAAATAAGGGAAAATGCATTTTGAGCGGATGGCAATTCAATGGAGCTGCTAAGCCAACTAGTAGTTGTATAGAGTTACTGCCACTGGTCAGATCAGATGGAATTAATGGAATGACAATTTAAAATTAAATTTCAAAATGCCCAACCAGAGGCAACACAAGAAGACGGCTTTAACTCTCAACTCAGCAAATTTGTTGAGAAATTAATTGCATTTTAATTGCGTTAGGTAGAGAAACGTTAAGAGTTGTGCGGTTTAATTAAGTGTGTAAAATTTTTCTTTCGATAGCATTTGCAAGGCAATTGGGTTTACAGCTATTTCGGTTATTCAATTTACTTTGCAATTTTAATATGGCCCTAATTATTATTTAATTTTGATTTATTCAAGTTGTTGTGGCTCCTTGAGTTCATCTTTATTCACGGACTGATTTTGTTTATGGTAATTTTGATTTATATTTGTAAATGATTTGTGGGAGATAATTTTATGGCTCACGTTGAATTTTGTTTTTGAGTAATATTTGCTTATTGTAATAATTTTGGTTTTTATTTCTAATAAAATTTATATGATTATTAATTAATTGATTTGCGCGATTAAATAGGGTTTTTTTTAAGACTGGACTTATTGTTCATCGTTTTTATAATTCTTTATTATTATTACACAGCATTTTACTTGAATTTCAGCACATGTACATTTTTTCTGTATTTCGTTTGTAATGAATTTCTTTAAAGAACACTTGAGATATTCGAAATTATAGACTTGAAAATAAGTTTTTGATTTTATACGAAAATTAACGTTTTTATTTGTAACCAGCTTTTTATCATTGTATAAGTTTTATTTTTAAGTAAAGTACTGTTAGCTGTAAAGTTTTTTTTAATAAATTGTAATTATTTATCATTTTTAAAACTTAAAATGTTTAATGTTTTCGTTAGCTCTTTCAATTTCTGTGTTTACAATTTGTGTAATTACTTCAAGCCAGCATTTGCAAACTCGTTACTTTGCAATATTATCTGGAGTTGTGTTGTTTATCCATTATCACATTTGCTGACTCGTTCTCTCACCTTTCACACACTTTCACTTTGGTTTCACTGGATGATTTTTACATATCGGATGGCGGAGAGGAGGAATTCTCCTCTATGGGGCATTATCTTGTATCTATGGCCCTTTAAACAATTTTCACTGTTGCTCGGACGAATATCTTTATCTCACTTGCTCGCACTGTCTTCAGTCCGACCGCATTTTCCGTCGATTCCGCTCCGTTCGCATTCGCCAATAATAAACCCGCAACTAAGTTAAATTTTCCTTGGCGGTCGGCTTTTATACGATTTTCCTCGTCGTGGCTTCGTCGAATGTTGAATGCCCAAAGCTTCGGCAGGCTTTTCCTACATTTTCCACAAGCTTTTCCCGCCTTCAACACTCGACGAAACATGAACGATTCTTTCAATCAGATACTGTTTACAGGTGTTTGTTTTGGCCCCGATTTGTTGAGGTTTATGACCACCAACAAAACGAAATAAAAACAAAAATTCGCTAGAGTGCATTGCACTTGAAGCTTTTTGGCTTCGATTTTTATTTGTTTTTGATATCTCAAGGGGGAAAACGAACGCGCAGCCAAAGAATCCACAAAATCTCACCCACTTGTTGCTTTCAATTTTTTTCCAACTGCGCGTAAAAGTAGGCAAGCGATTTTTGTGTTTTCTTGTATTGAATTATTCATAAGTAATTCAACAACAGCAACCGCCGGAAACATAAAAATCCCATTTATATTTAGGCTCAACACAAACACCCCGCCGAACAGCAATAACATTTAAAAGTTTTCAAATATTTATACGGCCAATTGGAAAATTGTTGAATTATTGAACTGGCTTGAACTTGTCAGGGAAAAGGGCGCTGCGGGCCTTGCAGGTAACAGGAAAACTTTCTCGAGATTGGTTAATGAAAATGTATGCCAAGCGCCAACACGTAAAGAAAACAATAAAACCCAGCCACAAGCGGCCACAAATCAATTGAGAGTGGGCCGAGACCCACCAAGGCTCACGCAACAAGGACCTCGCAGGACTGCGACAATGTCTCCCGGTGAAGAGTTCCCTGCCACGTTCCGTACGTTTCGTGCGCATTGTGAAAACATTTTTCTAATTTCCTGTCATCAATATAAATGAAATGTTCACGGCAGCAATCGACTTGTTACGGGGTAGGAGAAGGATTACGGGGGTATATTCGTGATAAGGGATGGCACTTCGAAAACACTTAACAAATCTAAGATTATTTTTATGCCGGAAAGGTTACAGTAAAAACACACTTTTAAGAATTTAATTTAAGAAACGTATTAGAGTTCCTAATATATTAAGTAAATAATCCACTTATAATGCACTTATTTATAGTAAGTGACTTGAAGCCAGATTTAACTGAGAGAGTTTTATTTAGTTTGTATTAAATAAAAATGCAGCGAAAAGCTTAACTTCACATTCATTTTCTAAATTGCAAGTAACTTATAAATGTTATCAAATTTGTTGCTTCCATTTGCTTACTCATCGCATTTATCAGAAGTAAAACTTCAACTAGTTATTACTCGCTTTTCCCAACTTTAAATAGTTACCTTGTCTCCCCTTTTCCCAATTGCGTGTCAAAACCATCGATGTGGGCAAAGTATTTGTATATTTATTTTGTAAAATTAAACAACAAGTGTCGCACAGAACAGAAACAGAAATTCGTAGTGGAATAAAATAAAGCGAGTGGCTTTTGAGGACTAGAAGCGGAGTCGCTTCACGGAGCGATAGTGATAGCCATCATCCAGGAGGGCGGAGGAGTCCTCCTCGCCATTGGGCAGCTCCTCCACGACGGCATTGTCGTCCAGGGGAGGCAGGTACTCCTTCACGGGCAGCAAGTCGGGAACCACAGAGGGAGTGCGATAGTGGTATCCATCGTCCAGGAGCACTGCGGACTCTACCTCCGGCTCCTCCTTGGGCACCTCCTCCACCTTCTCCAGGGTCTTCACTTCCAACTCCTCCTGCGGTTCCGTGATTATCTCAACTTCCTGCTGCGGTTCGGTGGTGACGATAACTGCCTCGGTGGTTGGCTCCACTGTGGTGGTTTCTTCTGAAATTACTACCTCGGTTGTGGTGGGCACCTCCGGGTTCCTGCTCCTGCTCCACCTGCTCAACCACAGGTGGCAAGTACTTGTTGTTTAGTGGCAGGGGAGGCAGGTAGTCGCGGGGCGGCTGGAGCACATGGTTCAAGGTGGCCGCATGCTGCTCTACTGGCGGCAGATAATCGCGACTGGGCACAGGTGGCAGCACCACTGGAGGAAGGTACTCCAGCGGCAGGTGGCTCACATCACGACGCACCACCGAACGACAGCTGGCCAGGCTCACAGCAGCCAACAGCAGGCAAAGCACTTGGAATCCTTGCTGGAATTGAGAAATATTTTAATTAAATATAACACGTACATATAGTTTGGTAATTTGTTAACTTGATAAGTGGAATAAAATGTATTTAGAGGTAGATATTTACTATTGTGTAATTCATTTAAAATAAAATACCTTTCAAACTTAAATCGCAATATTTTTATAATACTCAGATTAAAATTGTATGTAAAGACCAACATATTTTAAAACTAACAAATCCGATGCAGTTTTTTTAGTTTTTATTGAATTTTGAGGTGTGGAAATCGTTGCTTTGCTAGTTATTACATATTACTTAAGCACTGTGACTTACCATATTTCTTGTAATTTTAACGTTTGCTTCACTTGCCCTGCGATCTGGTTCTGACCTGCTCAATCTATTGGAGCTGTGGTTGGGTTTTGCTGCTGCTGTTGAAATCGTTTTAACTATTTATACAAAAAATTAGCAAGACGGCTAAAAGAAGTTCGATGGTCAATCGAACGCAATCGAACCGCATTAACACATTTGACGAAACACCTTTTGGGCCAAGCGTCTTCAGACGTGTTCGAAGTTCACAGCCGGATGTTCGATGTTTGGGCCCTGACAATGGTCATTGATCGTTAAAGATCTGAAGATCGGCGTTTTGGAGCGCGGAGATCGGAGATCGGCTTATGTGTTTACCCATTTGCTCTGCACTATTTGATTGCCGAAGAATCTGTCAATATTTTGCTTAGAGATTACCCCACCCCATTCCCTTCCGCCATTCTACAAACAACATTTTTCCTATATTTATCAAATTGTTTCGGGCCTTCGAAGCGTGGTTTCAATGTCGCCATCGTAAGGGGCCAATGTCAAGTGTTTTGGGCCATTGTAACAATTACACCAACTGCAGGTCGGCAGTGACGGTGCTGAAAACAATATGCCTCTTCGCTCAGAATTGTGTCGGAGAAGTCACGCAACGGATCGATGTAATTTGTTGCTGCATCATCCAACAGCAATTAACCGACTTATCGCACTTGACCGGTGCTGTAAAAAGTGTGGGTTCAAAACAACGAGTGCTCTTCAACTTTTTGATCCAGCTTAAGATGAAATTGAAAACGAAACTCCAATTCGAAATCGAAATCATAACGAAAATGAAACTGAAACACAAAAAGAAAGAATGAATGAAAGCCCTATGCGCAGTGAAAAACCAAAGAGAATATATTCAATCATGATATAAACCAATTGAAGCTGTCATAAATCCATTTTACCAATAAAAAATATTAGTCTACCAATCTTTAACCGCTCAAAAAAGAGCACAAAGGGAAATGTTTTCATTGGGAAACAGGAGCTAAAATACCCTAAACATTCGGGGAAAATAAACTTGAAAACTTATTAATAAGAATTTAAAGTCTTATGACCAAATCGTGATTACTTTGACACATATATTTACTTATAAGTTATTTGTCTATTGTGCTAATGAACAAATAATAAAGAATGTGGGCAAACTTCTACCAATATTTCACAGCTAGCTAAGAATAAATCCCCTGACAAAAATATTTAAAATCTGTTTGAACAAGTTATTTATTGTTTTATTTATGATCATTGTGCGAAAAAATATTAACTTTTTGAATCATGTTATTTTTCATTGTTTTTAGTAGCCAAATTTTAACAATGGCTTAAATAAACTAACATATAATATTTACAGTGCTCTTTAGGGCACCTTTTCTATACCCTTTAACACCCAAAAAAATGGTAGCGAATGTGCATATTCAAACATATATTTTTGGCGAGGTGTGCAGAGTTCTCGTTTTATGTGGGTTCAGGAAATACAAAAAATAAGTCTTCAGCTTTTTTATTTAAGTCTTCAATGCGGCGAACAAACAAAAAAGAAAACCCAAAAAAAACAAGGAGTAAAAATGCTTACAATTTTTTTTGATCCGCTATTACGACATGCCCAAAATCAACTACCTCTCCTGTTCATTTTTCCACCCAGTTCAATTCAATGTAATTTTTTTTAGCTGGCTACGCATACCGAGGATTAGTAGAAATTGAAAAACTTCCCCGCAATGCCGCAGCCCCGAAAACGCAGTGGGTTTGCTCCTCAATTCCACTTCTCCCGCACCAGTTTGCGTAATAGAAAAGCTAAATATTTAGTTTGGAATTTCAACTGAACTGCGACCACGCGGTTTAATACCTCTCGGTTTATTTGAAGACGACTTCAATTAAAATTTTGCTGGAAAAAGTGGTCTAAAAAGTTTTGAAAATGTAGTGTGCATCAATGCAGCTGTAGTTCAATGGTGGTTGTTGTTAAAATAGTTTTACGGGGGTAACCCGAAAAACGAATATTTGTTCAAGCGACTGCCACTTGGGGCGTTCGCATGTAACCGACCAAAAACACCATCAGCACAAAAGCCCGAACTAAACATCGAAAAAATGCATTGTACACATCGAGGGGGAAAAACTATTCAAATTTGTCTAATGGACCATCCGAACAGGCCATGTAAATTGGAAAAAACTTCTTGGAAGAGATCCATGAGAGCTGAAGGTTCTGGGAAACATTTTTTCAGAAAATGAAATTTAATTACAAGATCTTGATTTGTACTTTGTTGGAAGAAAATCTCTTATATTTATGAAATGATGAAAGGAATTTAATTAATACATGTTGATAATTTGTAGATATAACTACAAATGTATATGCTTACGCTTAAAAGAAGTTTATATAACTTTGTTTATGAGTTATGTATCTTCATGTAGAAAAATAGATTTGTAAAGGAATTGATTTCCTTGTTTTATAATTATAACTTCTTGTACCTATATGCCCCTATTTTATAATAGCCCTGTAGTTTGCAGCTCTGTCTTAACTCTTTGGTAAGTCAATTGCCGTAACCTCCTTGACTCCCCCAAACTCTGATTGATGTTTGCCTTCTGCCAGTCTTAGTGTCATTTGCATGCAAAACTTGTGAACTTTATAGCACACATAGTGCGAGGAGGTATATAGAAAATGGAACAAAATGTAATCACGCCATGAAATATGCAACAGATGTGTAGGGGAAGCGAAAAACCTGGAAAAGAGGAAGGGCAACCTACAAACAGGCAACAAATTAGAGGCAATTCACGTGCCTGTCAACTTAACACATTACGCTCCAATTACGCGCCTTCCTACAGAAATGGGGAGACGGGGGATTGGGGGATTGGGAGCTCGCAAGGAAGTCCTGTTCGTCCTGGGCGTCTTCCTCGAATATCACTTTCTGCATAATAAAATCAGTTGGAGCCCGTTGCCTGTCGCCTTAGCTTTGCAGTTTGGCAGGATCGCAAAGGACTCGCCCAATCGGCTTGGGAAATGCAATGCATACTAAACAGTCAGGAGGACAAGACATAACTTATGCAACAGGCATGGCTGCAGGAACATCAAATCCTGGCCTGGGACAAGCAATTCCAGAAGGTGGGACCCAAAAAAAGGAGAAGACTTTTATGACCGGATGAAAAATTTAATTACAATTTACCGGTTAGCCTCTGTCAACCCTTTTCATCGGCAAACACACTTACAGAAAACAGTATGTTCAATTTAGTTGACTAAGCGGCAAGCATTCCTTACAAACTTAATTTTAAAAAAATTTTATAAGTAATTCAAAATGTTTTAAGCTTAAACTTTGATAGGTTGTACGCATTATATTTTTATTAAAATCATTGCCTTTTTAATTAATACAACTATATATACACACACAACAATCAAATAAATGCGGCACGTTTGTCCACAAGTGTCTTAATCATTTTTACTTGCCAAAAACAATAAATAAATTAAAATTTAAGTAAGAGGAATGCCTTTAGATTAGAGCAAATGGCCCAGAATTGTCAAGATAAATGTATCTTTTGTGTGTCTCTATTACTTGGCATTGAACTGACCCCGGGCTGAAACTCAATTAATTTGGAATTTCTTTTGGCATAGTGTTGTGCCAGACTCCTTGAACTTCTTTACCCCCTTTTCCATAGTCTTTCGGTTTATTTATTACATTTCATTCCCGTTTTGCTGTTGATTTGCCTCGATTCTCTCTCACTTTGGGTCGCATTGTCAAAGCGAATTTAATTGTCTCAATTATGCGCTAAATGTCGCCAGTTTCCAACGGTTTCCACCAAAACTCCAGACCCAAGTCAAGACAAGGTCAAGCGGGGTTGAATCCTTTCTCGAGGGGATTGGGTGCGGTTGGGAAACCAGAGACAAGCCGACAACAAGGCAACTTTATTGAAGCAATTTTCACCACCTTCAGTGGCACAGAAATGAGGCAAAGCGCGACGACCAAATAATCAAGTGACTTACTAAAAAGTTAACGCAATTTTGTGGCAACTTCAAAAAGTTTCATCAACCCTTTTGTGGCAGCGTCTTGTCGTGGCCTAAAGGAATCTCGCGAATGCCGTCTTCGCCGTTGCCTTCTCCACCTCCTTATCCTAATCCTTTTCCGGCTTCTAGCCTCTGTCCTGTCAATTCCCGCTGTCGACGCCTTCACGCTCAGTTGAATGCACTTTTGTGCCTTCATTACCACGCCGCAAAAAAGGACGAAGGACCTTCAGGGCCTTTGGACAGAACTTGCTTACTTGAATGCCTTATATACGCTGTGTTGGTGGGTCGTTTCAGTGTGAAACTGTTTACTAATTTTTTAATTATAATAACATTTTAATTATAATTTTTTACTAACGAAAGAAAATTTTGTGGATGTTGAGGTTCTAATTAAACGGTGAGCTCGATTTTAGTAAATCACAAAATACTAATAAATGTATATATTTATATTTATTTAATTATTTTGACAGCGCTAATCCGATGTAATCAGCTAAATTTTACAAAATAACAATCTGCTTTAGCAATTATATAAAAAAAAGCAAATTATTGAACAATTAATAACAATCAAAAAGTGATGCTCAGTTTTTAAAGAGCTCTTTATTTACCGTTTTTATATACAAATATATAAAACGAATTACATCAACACTCTTTAAGAAAAACCTTTAACACCTGCACATTCCAAAAAATCCACCCTGTCCCATAGAAAATGATAAAACTTAAGACCCTTTTCCAAGCAGCCAGCTTATCAAAATAGATGACACATGGCGATCCCCAGAGCAGACATCGCATTAGACGCACTTGCTGGCGTGTAATGCGGCGTATACGTAATTTGCTTTACAGGTAATTAAAAATCAACACACGCCACACACCTGGCGGGCCACCGAAAATTTTCATAATTTCACACTTTGCTGGGCAGCTTTTTCGGTGGAAAAAGCGGATGACATCTAATCAAAAATCCGGGTCCTTCAATCTGACCTATCTCGCAGATATCGAGCAACAAAAACATGCAAAGTTCTTTATTTCACATCATATTGCACACCGCCCACGAGCATGAAAAAGTGGCATGTCAACAGCAAATTCTATTGCGCAAACATAG